TGGGGGAAGGGGAGGAGGGAGGGGAGGGGAGGGTACCCTCGCTGAAGTTTAGCAAGTTACGAGGGGTTTATATAAGTTCCGCACAAATGTGGGGGGCGTCCGTAAAAGCCTTGGAGGGGACCCGGGGACGGTCAATACCTGTTATTGTACCGCCGCCGAAATGGGGATGTTGACAGCCTCTCTCGCTCTCTCCTGCTGGGCCCTCAGTGCTCAGTGCCCCCACCTCCTCTTCAACTTCCTCCTTCTCCTCTCTCCTTCCCTCCTCGCCTGCTTCTGTCCTCCAGCCTTTCCTTTACCATGTCACAATCCTTCTCATACTTGTCCCTCTCATTCTTGCAGTTTTTAATCATGTCCATTCCCTCCTTTCCCTCCATCTTCACCCACTTCCCTCATCTCCATCTCCCCCCGGGGGTGGCGAGGCCCAGATCGACGGCATTCGCGGCCTCGCCCGGACCATCGCCTGTTTGGGTCCCAGCCTGGTGGCGCTGAGGCTCTCCCGCCTGAACAGCCGGGGCACCGACCCGCGGGTCGCTGAGCTGAACCTGCCCCATCTAACCCGCTTAGATTTCCTGGGCTGCGGGGGCGAGCTGGTGGCGGCCTTTGATGGTGTGTCGCTGTCGGCGGTGCGGCTCAGAAGGCTGGAGGTGAGGGGGAAAGTGGGAAGTTGTGTGCGCCCTTGGGTTGGTGTACGACTGTATGTGTTGGTGGTGTAACGTACCCCCGTCCCCTTAAGTGTGTTTCGCGAGGCTGTACATCGTGAGGAGGAGCTGTGTGTACTTATGTATGTCTGTATTCACGTTCCATGGTGGTTTTCGTTGTGGTCTCATGAAGAGGACAATTCGATATGGGGTTAATAGGGCAACCGAAGTGGGGTTGTTGCTAGGTGAACACAAGCAGAGGGGGAAAGGGTTCCGGTACTGGCATTCCAAACCAATACACGACGTCCATACTCGCACCCATATCCATGCCGCCGCCCTAACATTCTTCCCCCCGCCCTCTTCTCCTACGGCGGCATCTTCCGCAGATTCGGGAATGCGAGACCATAAGGCCCGCGGACCTGCAGTGGGCCATTGAGCGGCAGGTGGGTGCGTCAGGGGCGGTGGTGATGATCTCCAACCTCTCTCCTACTTATGACCTCCCTTTCCCCCCCCTGCACCTGGTCAGTTCTACGTCTGGTACACTCTTGCCCTGGCGGCAGCTTCACTCGTTTGTGGTTCGTCTTCCCCCCCTGCACCGCTGCAGGTGGGTCTCCAGCAACTGGTGATCCAGGACTGCCCGGGGCTACTCGCCATCACACGGGGGGCGGCAGCAGCAGCAGCAGCGGGAGGAGGAGGAGCAGGAGGGGGAGGAGGAGGGGGAGGAGGCCCCACGGCGGCTGCAACCGCGGCGGCAACGGCGTTACGACGGGCTCTGCGGCCCTCCCCTCGCCTCTCCATCTCCATCTCCGCCACCGCCTCGGGTGAAGCCCGGCAACTCAGGCGCAGCAGGCGCCGAGCAGCAACGCCGGCAGTCGCATCAGCGGGGTCGGTGGTCGGCGGTACGGCTGGAGGTCTGGGCGGCTTTGAGATGCTGACAATCGGGGTGGCGGCAGTTGAGGCGTCGTATAACGGATTTACAACCGCTGATGACGTGGATGAGCTCTAGGGCCGGCAGTAGCCAGATGTTGGGGCTAATTGCGGGAGGGCGGGAGGGAGGGAGGAGCACGATAACGACCACAGTGCATGTGCACGACGAAGTACATGCAGGACCCCTTCACTGGATCTCATAAAGAGCCAACCCGACAGTGAGGTGGACGCACGTCGGTCTGTGCCGAAATCCGGTCCACCACTCCCAACACGGCCACATGAGTCAATAGAGGTGTAGGAGGGATTGCGGCCGACGTGGTGAAAAACGCCAATGGCTTTGTAAATAGTGAATGGATGACAAAGCAGGATGCGGCGGCGGTGCTAAGGCGCAGCTCCGGAATCTTGAGAGGCTTTTCAGCGGCCAACTACTCCGCTGGCTGTGGGACTGACTGTGGTGAACTCTTACCATAGTGAGACCCACATGAAAACAAGTTTCCAGTATTGGGCGCACAACGCCGTGACAAGCTGATATAGTGCCATGCTGCTAATACTGCCATTCCAGCCACCATTACACGATTAATAGTTCCTTTGGAGGGCGAGGAGTCGCGCTTCCGCGCTTGCCACTGCTCACGCAGCGGCTGCATGGAAAAGTCCTATGTGGAAGAAAAACAACGTCATTTAAAGTTACAAAGCCACACACCCAGACGAGTAGCACAGTTTACGCATACATAGCAATTGGCTTCACTTGCTCAGGCAGGCGGCACCGTTCTTCAGTATTGCTACAGATGCTGGCAGTAGCGTAACTAAAACCAACCACCGAAAACCACACTATAATACTCTGCTGGCCAGCAGCACCAAAATTTCACCATAAAAGCAAGTACAAGGCGCTTGTATGATATTAGTGGCATGTAAGAAGTTGTATGCAGTTTCCTGCCAGTGTGTTATGAAGGGCTATAAAATGTCTGCGGTCCGCGGACGCAGGAGTGCATATCCTCAAACCCTCAATCTTGTACCGGCCCTCCGCGTGCTTTTCACAACGATCCTCTGGAGCTATCCAAGCTAATGAAAAAATGTCACAAGCCTCAGGTGATTGCTTTTTTCTCTTCAACCTGTTGTGCCTAGTGAACCAAGTTTTGAACCTGCTGGCGCAAATAAACCTTGTGACTGCAACCCCAGCAGATCCACAAGTCCGCAGCAGGTCCCACAAGCAACAACAGGCAGGACAGCGGCATATCCCACACCGTGTCTTCAAGCATTGCCCACTATCCATCGATAGGGAGGCCCGGCCCTCCGCCAACACCGACGCAACCCCCATTGTGAAGAACGCGACTGATAACCCCCCCTTGCCGCCCTTACAGGGGATCTGGTAGGCTCATAGCAGGATCGCCTACCCGTGATGAATGCTGCATTTTTGAACTGTTTCGCAGGTCGACTGTGAAAACGCGATTGCGGTTTCCTTTTTCACTTCCCCTGTTTCGCAGGTGGTCGGTGAAGGGCAGGTGATGGTTGTCGAAGGGTAGGGAGGAGAGCCTAACATGCGAAATAGAAGGGGAGGAATTACCCCTTGGTGCCGGGCGCGGGGAGATCCTAACGTGCGGAATGTGGGTCATGGTCGGGGCATATCGATGTTGCTATTGGACCCCGGGACCTGCCCTCTGGCGGTGATTGCGGGTTCCCATCCCACATGGTCCGCAGCACACTTGCTGCACCTTCGGTACACTGTGGTCGCGGTTCTATGGGTACTGGTGCGCTCAGAGTTCCAGGATGTGTGTAGGCAGGAAGTGAAGGCATGCACCAGCTCGTTGTCTCCATTCAGCTTGTAAACCTGTTTGTCAAGGTGGTCGTAGCTGGTGTGCGTCTTGGTTGTACGGCAGATGAGGGTCGCGTAAGAGTAGGCGCAGGATGGGGAAGACCCAGGGAGCAGTATGTGTGTATGCCAGCAGCAGCCACAACACGGTGGTTGAGGAGGAGGAGGAGGGAAGTCACGTGGGAAAAACCCGGAATGAGCTTTATATAAACATGGAGATCTCAACATGTGCATGCAAATTTCGCCCGATTTGGACATGGATAGCCTAGGCTTGCATGGCTTGAATGGATGCCTAAAAGCCTGATGTGTGGGCGCCATGCACCTAAAGACGAAGCAGAACTCAAAAGCCTCGAAACGAGCTTTGTAACAACCTGTAGATATTTCAATTCTGGACATGTCCATGCGGATGGCACCCTATTTGGACTTGATCACACAATAAAATTGTCGGGCTTGCTGGGTCTAAGCTGGTAATGGTTTTAGGGGAGGTGCTTACAGGCATCGTGGTCACAGGCATATGATGCCAAACTCGTGTGAAACCAGGTTACTTAGGTCCTAACCCCGTAAAACCGAAGTGGAACAATATAGAAACGGAGATATCTACATGTTTGTATGTGAAAAAAGCCGGGAATGCAGCTTGGATAACCCATAGGTTTCAGGAGTGGCCAAGTCCCACCCCGGCTGGTTAGAGGTCGCGCCGGTTAAATGCACAGCCCGAGATGCGAGTGTGCGTGATAGTACCCGAAAGGTTGCCTTGAGGGCGGGCTGGTGAAATGTCCAACCACATGCCAATGAACTGTTTCGGGAGACTGCCAACACGGATAGAGGCAGCAGGTGCATACCTACGAGGAACTAGATATTGGTGGCCAATAGCGACTCGCAACCCCTTTATAGCTGGTCTCCTTTATGGTTCTGGAGTAAGCTTACTTTTTTCCTCGAAACCAAACCATTCACGTTTGGCGCGCTCGCTTGGCAGGTCTGGAGGACGCAAAACTACACTGGAGGACCCAGCACTACGACTGACTACACTGCCCAACCGCGGAACTCATCAGTGCAGTAATAGCAACCGATACATCAGACGTGTAAACCTTAGGCAGGGGAAGACAAGTTATGTGCTGCGGCGCATGATGGATAGAGCTTGCCAGAGCGGCCTTGCATAACTGATTGCTTCTTGTAACAAAAGAAAGTCGGGAAGCGGCTGTGTCATATCAATGTGAAAATTGCTTGCACAAGTCCACTCCACCAAAGCGAACCCCGAATCGCTGCAAGCCCTTTCTCATGAAATACTGCAAACTGCCAAAGCTGCACCCGTTTTTTCACAGCTCCTACACTTGGCAGACAAGAATCACTTTGCGGCCGCAGCAATCTTGAGTAAAGCCCTGTGCTTTAAGGAAGACCGCATGACATAGTTATACAGCCTGAAGGTGATATTTTAGAAAAAAACACGTTTTATGAGTTTTTTGAGCACGTGATCGGCCGGTGGCCGTTAACCCTTCCACTCCATGACTCCAACGGTCTCCGATGGGGACTCCCCATAATATGAAGTAGCTCCCCATAACATGATGTATAGCTTAGGATACTAGATTTCTTTACTTAATATTTTTTTTATCCTTTTGAGCATTTTGTTAGAAATGGCTGAGATTCCCAAACTGCGCGTCGGCTTCCTGGGTTTGGGCATTATGGGCGAGGCCATGGCCCGTAACTTGCTGAAGAGTGGCTTGTTTGCTTCGGTGATGGTTTGGAACCGAACGATGGCTAAGTGTGCGCCGCTTGTGGCCGAGGGCGCTCAGTGCGCAGAGACACCTGCAGCAGTCGTGGATTCTTGCGATGTCACGTTTGCTATGCTGGCTGATCCGAGCGCGGCCTTGGAGGCGGTGTTTGGCGACAACGGCGTGCTTGCTGCAATTGCGCCTGGCAAGGGGTGAGCTTTTAAGCGGAGTGTTTTTGCACTTCAGCGCAGCACTTCAGCGCTGCGGGTACTAACCTCATATCCTAGATTTACAATGTCGCACTTCCATGTACTGTAGGTATGTTGATATGTCAACGGTTGATGAGGCGACATCGACCAAGATCGGCGAGGCCATTGCCACTAAGGGTGGCAAATTCCTTGAGGGCCCCGTCTCCGGCAGCAAGAAGCCCGCCATTGACGGGCAGCTCATCATCATGGCCGCGGGCGACAAGGAGCTGTATGACCTTGTGCAGGTGAGCTAGAAACCCGTAGTCCTTGCACAGCCTCCTATAAATGCCTTAAATCAATGCACATATTTCGGCTCATCCAGAACCCACGCTTACAGAAACTCAAGGAAACGGCATTTGAGCCGTTAGGCCCGAACCCCTCCACTCATCCAAGTCATCCCTACTCGCATCGAAAAGTGTCCCTTAGGGCCTTATTATCCCCTGCCAAACCTAGCTCTCCACATTGCCCTGATGTGCCATCTACCAAACGAATGGTTTTGCCCTCTGCACCCTCGTTTCCATAGTCCGCCTTCAACGTCATGGGCAAGAAGTCCTTTTACCTGGGCACCACTGGCGCAGCTGCCCGCATGAAGCTTGTGGTCAACATGGTTATGGGTTCTATGATGGGTGCCTTTTGCGAGGGCATGGCGCTAGCTGACAAGGCTGGTCTGGAGCAGTCTGCCCTTTTGGAGATCCTAGGCCTGGGCGCCATGGCCAACCCCATGTTCGCTCTCAAGGGTCCCGCGATCATGAGCCGCAACTACCCACCCGCCTTCCCGCTCAAGCACCAGCAGAAGGACCTCCGTTTGGCCCTAGCGCTTGGTGACGCGCTTAACCAGCCGCTGCCGGTGGCGGCCGCTGCCAACGAGGCCTTCAAGAACGCCAAAGCCAAGGGACACGCAGATGAAGACTTCGCTGCTGTGTACGAGGCGACACAGCAGAAGTGAGGAGGTGACAGACAAGTGTAGGTGGGGGAACGAGTTATGCGAAGAGGCAGAAGAGAGCGCGCGCGTAGGAGCCCGTTGGGGCTTGGAGGTGGTGCGGCCGGAGTGGTGGGTCGGCTGAATGCGCTTTTTAGAGGCGGGGCGTCATTTGCGTGCGGGAGACAGATCTAGAACCCAGAAAAACCTGCGGTCAATTGGCTTATTGCTGCACGAGTCGGCCTTTTATCGAAAGAAAGAGGTTGTCGTGTCTCGTTTGTTGTATTCAATATGACGGCACAGGGCGTCATTGAGAGTCCACGTTTGCGCGCCGTTGCGGACGGAAGACGTGGCATGCAGATATTACTGCTAGGACCCCAGCCGGCTCTGCAACAGCAAAACAACGAACTCCGAGCGGAGAGCAAAGGGCTGAAGGGGGGAGGGACGTGTTGCGACGTTGAGAGCATTGTTTGGGGCCACACGCCATGAGAGGGGACGGGAGCGGAGGGGGCCACGCGAAGGGAAGAAACGCAGTATAGTCTGTTTTGAAGGAGGTGGGATTTTAATATATACGTAACGACGTAAAGAGTTTTGAAACCAATTGACGATGACTCGAGACGGCGACTTTGAAGGCGTATTCGGGGGCAAGCTTCAAGTGACGAGAAGCACGTGACTCGATCAGACTCATTTGTGGGTCTCTTATCAAGGCATGTGATGGATGGCATGCATACACATGTGGTGGCCGGTGGAGCCGGTGTCCAAATAAACTAGGGCCTGTCAGTAGCCTAGGTGTGGCGGGATAGTAGTGAAGTTGCGCTTCATTTTGCTACGAAGTGGCTTCATTTTGTGGATGTGGGCTGATGTGACGGCTGTGCTGGCAATGGGCTATTAAGATGCATATGTTTTAATGAACTTGCATATGTGTGTGTGTGTGCGTGCGCGAGGATGTGTGGCAACCTTGTGCTGTCGTGCTGTCCTCAACGCTACGTATTAAGCTATGCTTCGGACAAGTGGAGCGTGTGTGCCTTTATTTGGCGGTCACCACGAGCGGCAGGGTGCGATGTGTGGCTGTTGCCGCTCCCGCGGGGAAGCGGGGTGTGCGGTTTGGGTGAGGATGATGTGACACGGGAGGGCATACACGGCACGGTATCTGCCGGTGTATATGTGCGATACGAGGCTGATCTGCCATGCGTGGTGGTTGCGGGAACGGGTGTCGGTGCACGCGCTTGCGTGCATGCATGCCCTTACACGTGCCTTTAAATTTGTGTCCTCATGGAGGAGGAGTATAGGCATGCGCAGTTGTGTCTGCCGCGAAGATATCTCCCTCCCACTCAATTGCAACCTTAAACGATGCTCGTTTCGTATAAACACACGCCAGGAAGATGCAACTGATAAAGCGGGTAAAAGTCGCGCAATCCTGAACTCGCTGACATACTACCGTACACACGCACCGGCACGGCGTATCGCACATCGCGCCGCTAAAGTTGCATGATTCAATGCACAACTTCAGTTTAACAGCCGCATATGATGTTTACAGCCTTTGCCTGCGCAAATTGAGATCTGAGAGGCTCTAACTCTCAGTGGCGACATGACGCTGTGACAGTCGCTGGGCAGTTAGTGGTCCGGCATAACTCCTAATGAGCACTCTTTCGCGTTGATACCCCTAGTATACAAGAAAATACGTTTAACCTGTAACCTGCCATGCTTTAGAATCCGCTCCCCTTGCACGTTTCGTTATTCTGTTAAAAGCCACTTAGGTTTCTCGAACCCGAAATGGGCAGTGAGACTGTCACCTCCCTAATAGAGGAGGTATGCGGTTCCAGGCATATGTTTATGTTTTTTTTCTGCCATAGCTTGCAACTGTGCTGCATGCGTTGTCCCGATGACAGCTCAAAGGGTATGCCGAGAAAGGCGAATTGCTTTTGTGGGCCTCGGCGCGGGGTCTCACTGCTGATGTAAGTAAATTGCGGGCACCGTTTTTTACCAAAAGCCTGAGCAGTGACGCCATTGTCGCAACTGGACATGGCTGGCATCACCCGTCGCAGGTGATCGAGCTAGTGCAAACCGGCGCTGATCCCTCCGCCAAAGACAAGCGTTTTCGTCAGGCAGTGCACTATGCTGCATCAAATGGGCGCCTCGAAATCCTGGAGTATCTCTTCACGAAGGGTGTCTTGCTCGATTCGGAGGATGACATTGGCCGTGGACCGCTCCATTACGCAGCCGCAGGTGAGTAGAGCCCTTTGAGAATGGAGCCCCTGCTCGCATGCCAATGCCCCATCTACCGCCTCATACACACACACACATGTACCTCCACCCCGCACACCTTGCTCTCCCCCTTCGCCGCCAGGCGGCCACGCCGCCTGTGTTTCTTACCTGCTTGGAAAGGAGTGCTGGCGGGACGCACCTGACGCCGCGGATGACACCCCCCTCCACCTGGCCGCCAGGTCGGGCAGCCTGGAGACGGTCCGGGCGCTACTCGCGGCACGAGCCAAGGTATGGGATGTACGGTGCACGACGTACGACATGTAAAGTACAATGTCCTGAAGATTTCTGCTCTCGTGCAGCTGCCTCCTGGCCGCCCAGGATCTCGTTGCCTTCCGAGTTAAACACACGCACAAACGCAGGAATGCATGCGCGCCTAGATACTTCACACTTCTCCTAGTCCCGGGCCCCCCCAGCCCGCAAGCAGTCCCGTCCCAGGTCCCGAGCCCCCACGGCTCCGTTTGCCCCGAGCTCTCTCGCCCCTTTTACGTCTGTACTCCTGCGCCTGGGCCCCGAACAGCCCCCCGCTGACCTGGATAACTGCTGGCTTTGAAACTCATAAGGTTTATTTCCGGCCATTCCTAGTATTGTCGAAGCAGTTAAAGCGTTATGAGTCGAAAATTGCGGAATTCGTTATCATCGAATTTATAACGCCGATTGTTATAAGAAGCCTGAGGTTGGAACAGTTGTATATAGGTATTATCGAAGTTCTTCCGCGAATTTTAAACTTCCCATCCAACGGGTTCATTATTGGCCGGCTGCCGGTCGCCACTAAGGCGTGCGCGCAAGCAAGCGCTACCGGCGCGTGCATTTCCCACCGGGTAGCCCTCCTCCGCTAGCTCCTCCTCCCCCTCCTCCCCCTCCTACTCCCCCTCCTACTCCCCCTCCTCCGCTAGCTCCTGGTTTCGGTAACAGCCAGCCTCCAGTCGCCCGTAACACGTAACACAACCCTCCCGAGCCCCGGGGCCCCCATTCCCCCCCCCCGCCAGGTGGGGCTCCTAAACAAGCGCTCCCTGACACCCTTCGCGGAGGCCGTGTTGTCCGGTCACATCGCGGCGGCGGAGGTGCTCGGGGCAGCGGAGGAGGAGGAGGCGGGGGAGGGCGGCGGCGGAGGGGGGTTGGCGAGAGCGTTGGCCAGGACGTATCGCGAGGTGCCGCTGCTGCACCTGGCAGCAGGACTGGGGCAGGTGCGCAGCGGGGTGGCGAGGGGGGGGGTGAAGGGGGGAGGGGGATAGAGCTGGTGATGAAGGATATCGCTTGGCGCTGATCGGAGTGCCCCACGGGTCGGCGGCTGCCTGCGAAATGGCCCAGGGTGCGCGGGTGGGAGGTGGGGGGTGGGAATTATTGGCAGGCAGCTTCAAGTGCAAATGGATAGTGTGTTCGCCGCGGCCGACGTCCGGCCAGGGGGTTGGGGCCGGGGGGAAAAGACGAACCACACGAGCGAGTGAAGCTGCTGCCAAGTGGGGAAAGAGTGATGCGGCGGATGTACAGGACGGTAGCAGAACTAACCAGTTGGCGGTTGTGAAGAAGCTGGGGCCGGGGGGAGGAGGGGATGTCGGACGGGCGTATTTTAGGGCGGGCTGGCGGGCTGGCGGGCTGGAAGACACCTTTTCAGTTATAGTCACTAGGCGGCGTGTATGTGGCGGAAGGGGGGAGATGATGGCGCTCATGCAGCCCTGGCCCTCCACGTATTACACTACACTACACTACACATGAAACCCCACCCAACCACCCCTTCCCCACTCACCCACACTCGGGTGAGGCCCCTGAGGTGCTCCTTCTCTACCCCGCGTCCCTTGTCAGGCGGCGGCCGTGGAGTGGTTGGTACGGCAGCATAAATGTGATGTGGCGGCAGTAGCAGCTGAGCGGCGCTACATCCCCCTGCACGCCGCGGCCTTGTCGGGGGATGTCAATACGGTCAAGGCCCTGCTGAAACTGGGTGGGTGCGTGGGTGGGTGGGTTGGGGGGGGTGAGGGGTTTGGTGGGGGGTGGGTGTGGAGGGGGCTCGAAAACCCAATGGGGCGGTGTCCGACTGAACCTCCGTGGCTTCACCCCTCACCCACCCACCCAGGCCCACCCCCCGTATCATCCCCCACCTCACTACCCGTACGTAGTAACCCGTGCTGTCCCGACGAAACCCCTTCCACAGTGTTGCCGCTCACAGTACGACTCGCCGGTTGGCGGTTTCAACGAACTAAACTGATTTTCAGTTTACCCACATTGCGAAACCCAAGGTGAAGAAGGACACCACCGGCTGATGCTCCTTTCCCCCTCCCCTCCCCTCCCTCTTCCCTCCCCGCCTTGGCCACCCCCACGTCTTAGGTGCTGACCCGCTGGCTCAGACACTGGACGGTAAACTGCCTCTGGAGCTAGTACCCGCAGCGGCGCCGCCGCCGCCGGGTACAGCCCCGCCGCCGGCAGCAACGTCTGACCCGGACGCCGCTGCCGCCGCCGCTGCCACCGCTGCGACAGGGCCGGGGTTTCCCCATTTGGTGAGATCCGCCAAAAGAGCCTTTCGTGCGCTTGCGAGAGCGGCGGCGGAGCAGGGGTGTGTGGGGGAGGGGGGAGGTGATGGGAAGGAGGAGCGGGTGGCGGCGGCCGCGGCGCTGGGTGCGAGGAAGAAGAGCAAGGCGGGTGGTCGTCGCAGCGACGCTGGCGCAGTGACGGCGGCTGCGGCGGAGGATGAAGGAGAGGAGGAGGGGGAAGGCGACGAGGAGGAAGAGGAGGAGGAGGAAGAGGAAGGGGAGTACGACAGCCCTGCGGCC